GCCACAGGCACACTGGGGGACAGCTGTGACCAACCTAATGGGAAGACATCACTCCTCCTAGCCCGCCCGCCTGCCCGCCTGCCCAGGGCGTGAGCCCAGTGTGGAGCTGAGACAGGACTTGGGGTCCCAGCCCCGAAGTGGGGCAGCAGGTGCCAGCGGCCTGAGCCAGCTTTAGACCCAACCCAGCAGGAGTTGCAGCACCGGCCCTGCCGCGCTCTGGCCCAGGAACTCCAGGCAGCTCAGTGGAGAGCTCCAAGCCTCAGTCTTCTCATCTTTACAATGGAGAGAGGAGCAGTTATCCGACCAGGTTGTTTATGAGGAAGAAATGTGACAAGACGCCTGCTGCGGAGCCTGCTGGTGAGAGGGCAAGTGTCAATGCCACCCCTCCTGGATGGGACATCTCTGGGGCTGGACCGCAGTGCAAGGGATGGGAGAGGCTCTTCAAGGATCGGCCTGGCCCGGCAGAGGGGCCAGGGCGGAGGGAGCCGGACAGCAGCCTGTGGTCTGTCCCTTCACTCTGCAGTCCCGAGTCCTCCCCAGGGCACTGCAGCCAGCCCTTCTGGTTGGGGCCAAGAGGGACACCCACAGCTGGCCTGGCCGGCCCCCACCTGAGGCTCAGAAGCAGACCCCAGAGAAGGGCTACGGGCTCCTGCTCACAGCCTGCTGCGGGGCCCTTCTCTCTCAAGACTGCAGGGCAGGGTGGACCCTGCCCGACCACTGCAGGCTGCCCTTGACCCAAAGCAGGGCCGGACCCCAGGAGCAATCTTGGGCCACCAGCCTAGAGGCCTGAACCCCCTGCTCCTCCCTCAGGCCCAGGATAGATTCCAAACCCCCAGCACCCCCCAGGGGCCCTGGCTCCTGGCCTGGCCCATCCGCAATGCACCCTTTGCCCACTCAGGCTGCCCTCCGGTCCTCAGACACCTCGAGCCTCAGGGTCCACAGCCCCTGCTCCCTCTGGCTGGATGCTGTTCCCCTAACCTCGGCTGGGTTGGTTCCTGCTCATCACTCAGATCTTTGTACCCGTGTCACCTCCTGAGCAAGCCCCTCCCTGACCGCCTGACCTGAAGCAGTTCCAGGGGTGCTCCACCCTGTCTGGCTGGGCTGCCCCTGACCTTTGCCCACTGGCAGATCCCAGATCGCCCTCTTGCGCACCCGCTCTGACCGCCTCCGGGCCATAGACCTGGTATAAGACCTGCTTCAACAGCCCGCTTGGCGCTGCTGCTCCCCGCGTGTCACAGCTCTGGGGACCAACACAGGCCCGCCCCTCTCCACGGGGCTGGGGGCAGGGCATCAGTCCAGGCCCAGCCCTTGGCCAGACCCTCCGTCCGGAGGCTGAGCTCATGTTTTGGGAGGCAGCCACTGCCCCGACTCCCAGAGCAGGCTCCAGCTTATTACTGCCTCCCCAAGCCCCTGCCAGGCTCCGGCCTCCGCCAGACCCATCTCTTGGTGTCCCAGTGCCCCTCACGCAGGGTGCCAGCCTCTGATGGGGGTGGCACCTCCAGCAACAGGTAGGGGAGGGAGCCGGGGGGCCAGCAGGCGTGGGGGCCACATCTTCCTGTTCACACGGCCCTCCTCTCGAGACCCTTGCTGCGAGAGCCGGAGCAGGACAAAAGCAGCTCTGGGTCCAGAACTCTCCTTGCCCTCTCGCAGGGCTTACTGCTGCTGGCTCTCTGCTCCTCCCCAGCCTGGGTTCTGCTCTGACCCCCAAAGGCAGCAGCGGTGCGGGGCCCACCAAGGCCAGCTGCAGCCTGTCTGCCAGCACGCCCAGCGTCAGGCACGGGTGTGGCGCTCTGATCAATGGGGCGTTCATGGGCATCACGTCCTCTTCCCTCTCTCTGGAACAGCCCTACGGGGTGGGGGCCCAGGAAGGGTCGGACCACCCTGCAGGGCAACTGGGAGCCACCAGCAGCCCCGCTGGGGTCCATTCCCACCCCCTTCGGGGGCTAATGCGCCGCTGTTCACAAGGACAGCAGAGGAGACGCTGCGGCGGCCCGGGGAGGCCTTCCCGAGACGGCAAATCCGGGGCCTACCACGGCCCAGCCGCTCAAAACAATATGTGCAAAAGGAAAAAGGCTGGAAGGAAGCACACTGAGGGGTGCCTGTGATTAGGTGAAGTGGAAGTGTGATGGGTGTTTCTTTCCGATTTTCCCGTAATGAGATTACGGATGGGTAAAAGGAAAAGAAATTACCCTTCAATGAGTTTTGTACCTGCAGGCACTTCACACTCACTAACTCCCTGGATCCCAGCAGGAAAATGTTGCTATCCCACTTGCGGCTCAGAGAGATTGTGTAACTCTTCCAGGTCACACAGCGCGGGCAGAGCCCGCAGGGGCAGCGGAGCTGGGTCAGAGCCAGAAGCCAGGCCCCTCCTGAGCAGGGAAGAGCCCAGAAGGTGCTACAGGGCTCTCTCCAGGGGAGAAGAGGTGCAAGGTCAGGCCTGGCAGGTGCCCTTCGCCAGCCAGTGGGCTACACAACCCCCACCCTCCACCCCCACCGAACCAAGCTCAGCCCACTTGGTGCCCTTGTCCATGCCCTTCCTCTACCACCCACAGGTCCTCCTCTTCTCCACACTTACACTCCCCCCATCCTCAAGGCTGCGCTCATTCACGCCTCCTCCAGGAAGTATTCCCTGATGGCCCACTCATGGTGGTCAGCCCCTTGACCTCCCACAGCCCTGGCAGTGAGTGCAGACAACCTCGCCTGGGTGACCACATGCCTCCTCACTGGTCTCCCCACCCCCTCTCTTACCCCTACAACCCACCCTCCACATGGTGGCCTGAAGGGTGTGAACACCCAGCCACTCTTCTGCTAACATCCTCTGACAGCTCCCATCACACTTAAAACAAACCCAAACCCCCCTGTCCTTCATTATCCGCCACTGCCACCTCCCCAACCTCATTTCACACTCCTCTCTACCCAGACTTGTCTTCCTTCTTTTTCCTAACAAACCAAATTCATTCCTGCCTCAGGGCCTTTGCATCACTGTTCCCTCCAGCTGGAACATCCTTTCCCACTGTTTTCTCTGTCTGGCTTCTTCTCATTGCTCAGGAATACCTCCCATGAATAAAGGCGGGTTTGCCTCCTTGGAGGAGGAGTCTGGGCCCTCAAAGGAAGCTGTACTGGGCAGGGTCGTGTAGGTCTGCCCACGGGTGCACTGCACAGCTTCCTCACCTTTCCACGATGGTTGTTTGGCTTTGCCAGGGGCCCGGTTCTGCCAACTGCCCCGGCCTTAGACTTTCCTGGACCCCACCCAGGGCCCAGATGGCTTAGCCTGGCCTCCGGCTGTTTTCCGTCTCTCCGAGTCCTGTGCCCACCAGATGAGACAGACAGCGTCGTACCCTGCTGGCTGGACTGTCATCAAAGCAGGGATTTCTGCCCAAAGAGGTTCATCACAGCGTTGTTTATCAAAGAGGAAAATAAGAAACAATCACATCTTTCAACTGCAGAGAATAGGTTCAGAAAATTTTTCCAGTTCCTTCTATCATATTCCTTTTGATTGAAAACCCCCAGTGGCTTCCCACTATTCTTTTTTTTTTTCCCCTTTTTCCCCCAAAGCCCCAGTAGATAGTTGTATGTCATAGTTGCACATCCTTCTAAGTTGCTGTATGTGGGACGCCGCCTCAGCGTGGCCAGACAAGCGGTGTGTAGGTGCGCGTCCGGGATCTGAACCCGGGCCACCAGTAGCAGAGCACGAGCACTTAACCGCTAAGCCATGGGGCCGGCCCCCTTCCCACTGTTCTTAAGATGGAAGCGAAACTCCCTGCTCAACCCCAAGCTGCCCCTGCCCCACCTCGTGCACCCCATCTCACGAGCATGCTTCTCACTGGTCGTGTTTCAGCCACACACCTTCTCTCCCTCCCTCATACCCACCATGCTCCCTCCTGCCACTGGGCCTTTGCACATGCTGTGCCCGCTGCCTGGAATACCCTCCCTCTTCATCTAGTGAACCACCACCCTCCCGACCTCAGCTCACCACCCCTTCCTCAGGGAAGGCTTTGCAGACCTCCAGGACCTGGTCAGGCCCCAGTTACAGGATCTCATGACACCCAGGCCCCCCACCAGACTGGCAGCCCCCTGAGGGCCAGTTTCACACCCGGTTTTGCTCAGAATGAGAGCTCCAGCGGTTAGGGCTCTGATTTACATTCGCTGAATGAACATAATATTTTACAGCCATTACAAATGAGGGACACGTGACGTTTTTAATGACGTGAAAAATCCACGTGATCTTATTAAAAGGAAAAAAACAGATTTTCAAGTTGTATGTGCAGTGTGACCACAAACAGGGAAGGAAAAACGTGGAAGGATATAAATCAAAATAATAGCAGTTGCCTCGAGGGTGGGATTAGAGGCCACTTTACCCCTGCAGCACAATTTCCAAAGATTCCACAGTGGGCTATCTGACTTTATCATCAGAAAAAGCAAATAACTAACAGCTGTTCTCGACCCCCTGGCCTTCAGGGCTGGTGCCTCCACCAGGGCATCTGGCCTGACCCCTGCCCTGCAGGCACCCTCCGCCCACCAGCAGGAAGACCAGAGGTCACGTAAGGAAAGGCTAAGGGGCACGGCTCTGGGTGGCAGACCAGAAGGCTGGTGGGGAGATGGGGCTGCTCCACCAGGGCCACTTCGGAGCCCAGAGGGGAATGAAAGGGGACAGGGAGGGGCCGAGGATGGCGTTTGCATCCTGGCTATGTTTTACTGGCTGAGTGGCCTTGGGCAGGGTGCCGTGCCTCTGTGGCCCTCCATCTCCTCATCCCAAATGGAGCCCACAGTGGCACCCGCCTCCCAGAGCCAGGGGAGCACAGGGAGGAAGGATGCACACTGAGCGTGCGCCAGTGCCTGTCGCCAGTTACCGCTTAGAGGGATCACGGTCAGGTGTAAAGGAGAATTTCTGGGTACCACTGGCCTCCAGCTGGTCACAAAGCAGCCCGTATTCCCGGGGCTTTTCCAGAAGAACCACTCCCCCACCGGCCCCTCACCCCACCGCCCTCGGCCCCGCGCACCTTCCTTGGAGCCGGTGGCCACCGCTGTGGCAGAGGCCGAGGTGGACCCAGTGGACGTCCGGCCCACAGGGCTCGAGTGTTTCCCCCCACGGCCAGGGGGCTTCAGGCCACTGGGCTTCTGCATGGTGGTGCCACTCCCTGGATGGACGAGGGTCCGTGCGGGTCACGTCCTCCCTGCCATCGTCACTCACCTGCGGGCAGAGAACAAGAGCGACCACATCACCACCTCACCTGATGTCAGAGCACGCCGATGCTGACTCAGCGGGATTCCAGCTCCTGACCCTGTGAGGCAGGGACCACCATCACCCCCTTTTTCTAGATTGGGAAACTGAGGCACAGAGCCATGGCAGCAAGTGTGGGTCCAGGGTGGTGGTGGTGCTGCCAAGACATGTGTCCTGGTCTGCTGGACTCCGACGTTGGGCACGCTCTCTCTGCCCACCCCCTGGGCCAGGAGGCGAGAATCAGGAGCACACGACCCGGGGTCTGCAGCGACGGCAGTAGTGTGAGTCCCAGCAGCCCCGTAACAGGGCCACACAGGTCAGCACAGCCACCAAGCGCGGGGTGCGGCTCACCACAGAGCAGAGGCACGGAGCCTGGGGGGCCACTTTCCAATGGCCCCCAGACCCTCTGGGACCAGCCAACAGCGCACAGCCCACCTGATGAGGGCCAGACAAAGCAACACCTAGTTCACCCCACCAGCTCACTGTTCCGTCTGGTCACACGGGCCGCACTCCATCTCCGGGCTCACCGCCCAGCCCCTGCCCACTCCCCCGCAGGCGTGGGGAGAGACAGATCGAGAGGCTCACACCTGCCCCGATCCCGCGCCGGGATGGACCGCTGTGCCCTCTGCTTCCCTTCACCCATTACAGCTCCCTGCCTCTGTGACCAACTGGGGAAGGGTGCGCCGCGTACGGCACCCAGGGGCGCTGGCATTTGACAAAGGGGACCCCTGAGAGGGGAGCCCCCAGTCCCCATGGTGATCAGTTCAGGACACCGGTGACAGCAAGATGGGACCGGCTGCAGGGGGACTGGGGGAAAGGCAGAAAGGACAGGCCCACCATCCACTGGCCTCCCCCACCCCTATCCTGTACGCACACCCTCTCTTGCCCCAAATGTCTATGGAAGGCGCACCACGGGCCAGGCCCTGTCCTGCCCCAGAGCTGCAGGGCAGCACACCGTCCCGTGGGGAGAGGGACTGCAGAGCACCACGGGATGGACAGAGGATTCTGGAGAAAAGCATCCCCTGCAGCACCCTGGGAACAGAGGACGTTAATGCACTCCAGGAGCTCAACTTGAGGTAGGAAGGGATGCCACACCCTCGGTCACGGAACGTGAGTCCCTCTTAGAAAACCCTGTTCTCCATTCTTGATCCCTATGCTTTCTGCAGCTTGACCCCCAGCTCCCACACCTGGAGTGGACACGTGACCCAGGCCTGGCCAGAGCCCCCGTGGGCAGCTGAGGATGATCACGTGACCCAAGGAGCAGCAGCACCTGGGCCCCGGCTGGAACCTGTAGGAAGAGACACTCTCGTTGCTCTGGGGCTGCCTGGGTGTGGTGTGGAAGCCAGGAGCTGCAGGGCCATCCCAGTTACCGCAGGGACAGCCTGCCAGGGAACGACGCCGAGACAGAGAAGCAGAGCTGAGTCCCTGGATTTGCAGGGCCTGGATCCAGCTGAAACAGTGTATCTATTTATTTATTTATTTTGTGAGGAAGATCAGCCCTGAGCTAACATCCATGCCGATCCTCCTCTGTTTGCTGAGGAAGACCAGCTCTGAGCTAACATCTGTTGCCAATCCTCCTCCTGCCCCCACCCCCCCAAAGCCCCAGTAGATAGTTGTATGTCGTAGTTGCACATCCTTCTAGTTGCTGTATGTGGGACGCGGCCTCAGCACGGCCGGAGAAGTGGCGTTGGTGCGCGCCCAGGATCCGAACACGGGCTGCCAGTAGCAGAGCGCGCGCACTTAACCGCTAAGCCACGGGGCCGGCCCCTGAAACAGTGTATTTACACAGCAGTGTACAACTCAGCTTCACGAGGGACTGCTGACAACGCACATGGCTGCACCTCAACAACACTGTGCGAACTGAAAGAGACCAGAGGCAAAAGACCACGTACGTGTGATTTCATTTACAGGAGATTTCTTTTTTTTGTGAGGAGATCAGGCCTGAGCTAACATCTGCCAATCCTCCTCTTTTTTTTTGCTGAGGAAAAGTGGCCCTGGGCCAACATCCGTGCCCATCTTCCTCCACTTTATGTGGGACGCCGCCACAGCATGGCTTGACAAACGGTGTGTCGGTGCACGCCCGGGATCCGAACCTGCTAACCCCAGGCCACTGCAGCGGAGTGCACGCACTTAACCACTTGCACCACCAGGCCGGCCCCTACATGAGATTTCAAAACTATCAACACAGAAAGCAGATCAGTGGTTCCCTGGGGGTGGGAGCAGGGCTTGACCGCAAACAGGCACAAGAGAACTTTCTGGGTGGTAGAAATGTTCTAAAACTGTTTATACTAAAAGTAATCAAACGTACATTTAAAATGGGTGAATTTTATGTTACATAAATTAAACTTCAACTTAAAAAAATTATATAAAAAATAAAATGCGGGGCCGGCCGGGTTGGTTGGTTGCTCATCTTCAAGGACCTGCTGCAGCCTCCCCTCTGAGACCACAGCCCCTCCCCAGCGCCCCTGCTGCTTTGCTGTTTCTCTTCAGCATGTGTGCAGGGGCCCAGGTCTGTTTTGTTTACTGTGGTATCCTTAGTCCTGACAAGGGGCCTGGAGCCTACAGGTGCTCAATAAATCACTGCTGAATGAATGAATGAATGAACGATGCCGGCCCGTGGAGCTGAAAGGCCCAGGAGGCCCCCCTCCCCTCCTCAGGGCCCAGCACTCAGGACTGGTGACTTGTGGCCATCAGCCTAGCTGGCCGTCTGATGCCACGGCTCCTCGCACGGACGGCCTGACCTCCCCACCAGCCAGCGTGCCCCTCTGAGGCAGGGACCAGGTGTTGTAACTGTGTCCCTGCACTGCAGGCTCCCCAACCAGCCCTGCCACTGATGACCCTGCACTTCCTCACCACTCGCCCGACACCTGCCCACCTCCCAGACTCTGCTTGTGCCTTTCATCCCACCTGCTTCACTTCACCTCCTCCAACCACCTATGGAACACCTGGCCCGACACCTCCTCCTCCAGGAAGTCTCCCAGGACTTTGGGCCCACAGAGAGCTCAGGATCACAAGCTGAGCAGAGAGAAAGGACAGTGTTCTCGTTCATCCTCATCTTGCCTCCTGGGAGCCCACAGGCAACCGCAGGTGGGGCCACAGTTTCTCCTCTGAGAACCCAGAGGCAGCCTGGTGCCGGGCACAGAGCCCGGGATCCAGAAACCTCGAGGAAAGCACGCCTGCTGTTGCTCAGAGGACAAAGGCCTCAGGGACACTCCACCCAGGGGAGGCTCCTGGAGGCTCCCACAGTGGCCCTCCTGGACCCCAGTGACCCCAGCAGCCTCCAGGATGAAGAAACTATTGTGTTCCACCCTCGTTAGTCCTCACAACCCCTGGTGAGGCAGTAGCCAGCCTCCGGTGCAGCATCTGAAACTCAGCAAAGTCCGAGGACTCACCCAAAGTCACACACGGCTCTGCGGCTGGAACCAGACCCAGGTCTGGCCCTTGGCTGCCCACCAGTACTGCCCGGCCCAGGCCTGGAACAAGGCCTGTGAGACCCCTGGCCTCCGGGGAGAGTGTCCATGTGCCCCGCTGACAAAGGAGACCAGGGGAGCTGGCGGGAGAGGACCACGTGGCAGCCACTCAGCCCCGGCCACCACTGCTGGGGGCATGGGGAGGGCCAGAGGAGGAGAGGCGAGCCGTCACCCCCAGCTCTGGAGGGCCTTCAAAGCTAGGGCACACAGGAAAGGGGGGTGGAAGGGGAGAAGCATGGTGAACGGGAAGAGGGGGGGGTCCAACCGCCCCTTACAACTCAGCCCTGCCCGAGGGGCAGAGCAAGAGAAGGGCTTTCCTGGAAAAAGCCGGGACACGGTGATAAATTGGCCCTTGGCCACACTGCGGCCACTCGGGGAGGCCTGGGAGGGACGGCATTTACGCCTTGTACAGGCCCGAACCCCAGACTCCCCACGAGCGGCCCGGTGCGAGCGTCTGTTTTGTCACCTGTAAAATGGGGTGAGAGCATCGCTGCCCGCGGGGAGGGTGGACGAGCATCCTCGGAGCCGGCACGCAGGAGCTGCTGGGAAACGGCAGCTGTCGCCACTATCCAGTCTCTGTTAAGACCTCTGGGACCCAGGGTGGCCGTGCCACCTCCCCCAGGGATGTGGGCCTGGACGCGGCGGCGCGGGAGCAGCGGGCAAGGGCGGGTGGCATTCGGCCCAACAGGCCCCCTTTGTGCCACCCTCAAATGCTATCCACCAAACACAAACCCGGGCTGCATTTCAGGGTTTCCATTCCAGCTGCCCCGGGGGTGGCGGGCCGTGGTTTCAGCGGGGATGAGGCCCAAGAACTTTCTGCCAATCGGCAGCCCAGGCTGCAGCCCCAACAGAAGGCGGGCAGTGGAAAGCCCAGCTCGGGCGTGCCAGCATCGCCTGAAAGGAGAGGGAGGCGGGCACCAAGGGGCAGGCTCCCAGGGCCAGCCCTCAGCCCGGAGACCTCGGCCATCACTCACACCCTGGGCCCTCCTGCTGGGACAGCAGGACACTGCTGCTGGCTGAGGCCGGCGTGGCCCAGCCTTCACAGAGGCTCACACTCACACAACCCCCCACCCCCAACCAACAGCAGCAGCTCTCCTGGGGGCTGCTTCTCTCCTCCCCGACTCACGGGTCCTAGGACCCAGGGGGCCCACGCACCCCTCCTCTCCTGAGCCTTCGACCCGAGTGCCAGGCCACGTGGCAGCCAGAGATGAGCTCAGTACAGCCCCTGCCCGCTGGCCTCCGCCCCAAGGCTCAGGACCACAACAGCACTGTGACGGGGGCGGGGTGTCCTGGGGGGGGTGTCCTGCAACGGCAAGCACAGGGCAGGGAGCTGGGGTCCAGGCAGGGGGGAAACCACGAGGCACGTGGCTGCCCTGCAGCCCCTCCTCACGTTACACGCCGAGTGGGCACCTCCACTGACCAGCTGAGGGCTCAGCATGCCACACACGCCAGGTGTGAGGGGACACCTGGGGCACCCACTCGGCATGTAACGTGAGGGG